CAGACACTATCAAACTCTTAGGGGAAAACATAGGCAGAACACTCTATGACATAAATCACAGCAAGATCCTTTTTGAGCCACCTCCTAGAGAAATGGAAATAAAAATAAACAAATGGGACCTAATGAAACTTCAAAGCTTTTGCACAGCAAAGGAAACCATAAACAAGACCAAAAGACAACCCTCAGAATGGGAGGACATATTTGCAAATGAAGCAACTGACAAAGGATTAATCTCCAAAATTTAGGAGCAGCTCATGCAGCTGAATATCAGAAAAACAAACAACCCAATCCAAAAATGGGCAGAAGACCTAAATAAACATTTCTCCAAAGAAGACATACAGATAGCCAACAAACACATGAAAGAATGCTCAACATCATTAATCATTAGAGAAAGGCAAATCAAAACTACAATGAGATATCATCTCACACCAGTCAAAATGGCCATCATCAAAAAATCTACAAACAATAAATGCTGGAGAGGGTGTGGAGAAAAGGGAACACTCTTGCACTGTTTGTGGGAATGTAAATTCATACAGCCACTATGGAGAACAGTATGGAAGTTCCTTAAAAAACTAAAAATAGAACTACCATACGACCCAGCAATCCCACTACTGGGCATATACCCTAAGCAAACCATAATTCGAAAAGAGTCATGTACCAAAATGTTCATTGCAGCTCTATTTACAATAGCCAGGACATGGAAGCAGCCTAAGTGTCCATCAATAGGTGAATGGATAAAGAAGATGTGGCACATATATACAATGGAATATTACTCAGCCATAAAAAGAATCGAAATTGAGATATTTGTAGTGAGGTGGATGAACCTAGAGTCTGTCCTACAGAGTGAAGTAAGTCAGAAAGAGAAAAACAAATACCGTATGCTAACACATATATATTGAATCTTAAAAAAAAAAAAATGGTCATGAGGAACCTAGGGGCAAAACAGGAATAAAGACGCAGACCTACTAGAAAATGGACTTGAGGACACGGGGAGGGAGAAGGGTAAGCTGGGAAGAAGTGCGAGAGTGGCATGGACATATATACACTACCAAACGTAAAATAGATAACTAGTGGGAAGCAGCCGCATAGCACAGGGAGATCAGCTCGGTGCTTTGTGACCACCTAGAGGGGCGGGATAGGGAGGGTGGGAGGGAGGGTGACGCAAGAGGGAAGAGATATGGGGACATATGTATGTGTACAACTGATTCACTTTGTTATAAAGCAGAAACTAACACACCATTGTAAAGCAATTATACTCCAATAAAGATGTTAAAAATTAAATAAATAAATAAAATAAAACGAGTCATGTCAATCTACCTGTTTTTTCAAGATTACACCACATAGACCTTGGAATAAAGTAATCAATAAACACTTTTGGTAAATATCTCATTTCCTAGAAATGTTTGTTGACGTGTACAAAGTTCGAAAATGCCAGGAGATCAGGTAAACATGTACTCTCCCAGATTCAAATAAATGGTGAAGGCCTGAGTTCCAGTGCTGGGCACAGTTTTAGGTCGCTGGAGAGAGTGGGGAGCATAGATCTTGGGAGCAAACCCAAAGGAATGTGACCTAATTTACTGAGTGCTTGCTGTGAGTCTGGCACTTTGTATGATTATATTTAGATAGCCATATTCTTATTTCTTGAACAGTAAATTAAGACTCAGGGTCATATAATTTGCTCATGGACTCACAGGTGGAACTTCAGGTCTGTCTGATGTCAGAGCCCACAACACCCAAGAGCTAGTATTAACAGCTGAGGTCCCAACATCCCTCAGCTATTTTCTGTTTTGCCAGTCATCCAGTTCTTGGGTCTAGGGCAGGACACAGGTGATTACTAATTAAATAAAATGTTTAAGCTAGGGACAAAGTGAGAGAGTGGCATGGACATATATACACTACCAAACATAAGGTAGATAGCTAGTGGGAAGCAGCTGCATAGCACAGGGAGATTAGCTCGGTGCTTTGTGACCACCTAGAGGGGTGGGATAGGGAGGGTGGGAGGGAGGGATAGGCAAGAGGGAAGAGATAAGGGGATATATGTATATGTATAGCTGATTTACTTTGTTATACAGCAGAAACTAACACACAATTGTAAATCAATTATACTCCAATAAATATGTTAAAAAAAAAGTTTAAGCTAAATGTAAAGACTAGAAGTTTTGGAAATGGAAGATCACTGGTTAATACTTTAACCATTCCTGTCCTCAGTTTCCTCATTTATAGATGGAGGGTTTGGACCGGATAATCTTTACAGCTGGCAGTCCATTGCTTGATTCTTCTACCCACATATTCTCATTTCTGGTTTCCTAGGCGAAGAAATATCACAAGTGAGACAGATATATTTGCCTGCAAAACAACAACAACAAAAAATCTGTTATTTAGATTTGGGACACACTGGCTTATGGTAAAGAATATGGATGGCCCTGTGTGGTAGATTTTCGGGGTCCTCTAAACAGTCCTAATGCTCAGCATCTCTTTCTGTCTTGCATCTTTAGAGCTGTTCCCTTGAGATCTTACTCTAAGCCTCCTGGGACGATCAGAAATGGACCTATTGCTCTAGGGATAGAAAATCCTTTGGATGGGTGCTGCCAGACTGTCACCCATTGCAGACATTACTAATTGATCACTGTACTCTTTCTCTGAACCTAGACTAGCCTTAGAATCATTCATGGCACAATGCCTCATTACAGCCACTATTAATTGATTGTAACTGTCACTTAAAGAAAAAAAAAACTGTTGTACGTGTGCTAAACTAATTTCTCTTTTTAAAAATTTTGGACAAAATTAATTTCTCATGGTAATCCTTCTTTCACAGTAAGAGATTCTTGAAGAAATAAAAAAAAGTTAAGTTCTTTATTAGTAATTAGTAACAGAATTTTAGACCAGAGGAAAGACAAGCTGTGGAGATTATTTAAGCAAAGGCAAGGGAATGGGTTTTGTGAAAGAATTCAAAAGACAGCACAGAATTTGTTCTCTAAGAGAGGAAGATCTCCATGCTGACCTTTAAGATCAAAAATGGAAGGTGTCCAAGTACAAGACACAATGATGATTTTTAATAAATATTATTTTTACAGGAAACCTAATTCTAGTCCAAGTCATAGAAACAGAGTTAGAAAGAGCAAGGCTGGATCCCTGGATCCCACCAAAAACCTGAGTGGTGATGGCTCACGCACGTTCAGTCTTGGCCCTCATTATAGCACCCGAGGCTGATCACATTTCCAAAAATCTCTAGTACTAGAAAAGTCTTCCTGCATCGAGTGAGTCCAGGTATGTTCTATTCATTGGTATGGATTCTGTCTGAGCAATAGAGTAAGTGTGACTTGCCCTTTTTTCCAAAGCCTCTCTTCTCCAGGAAAAGCACGACTTCTGAATAAAACATTCCTCTCCTTCCTTTCTTCACATCACACTGGTTACCCGCCTTCTATCAGTGTGTTCTCTGGCACATCAGTGGAGAGAGTTGCAGGGCAATTTCCTCTGTGATAATAGAGTCTTGTGATGGCAGAGTTTCCTGAGTCTCTGGTTTCATATCTGCCGCTCTTAATATAGCACTGGGCACATAGCAGAATCCACTACTAGGTACAACATTGAATTAGCAAACTATGCTCTGTTTCACTTCTGTTTGATGAACTTATTATTATTTAAGTAAAATTTTCTTCCTTATTATCCTTGTTAATAAACAAGAGTGCTTGGAAAAATGGTAAAAGGACAAAATAGCTTCATGAATTAAACACCTATTATCTGCTGGGCATTGTATTGGATACTTTATATAGTAATTTAATACATTTCTCTAAAGCCTTTGTGACGTGGGGATTATTCTTTCACCCTACACCAAGAAATGGGAGTCTTAAATCGTAGGGTTCTTTTGTCTGAGGCCATACAGCAAGTTACTGGCAGAAGGAATATAATCCCCCCGCTCCCCGCCCACCTGCATCTTCAGCTTAGATTGAGTGCCGGTGCTATGTGCTTCCACAGCAGCGGCTGTTTCCATCCTGCACCTATGACACTGTATGCGATTGCTTACTATCCTTCTCCCGGCCCAGCAGGACTTAAGAACCATATCTAATTGCCTCATATTTGCATCCACAATGTCTGACACACCGTAGGATCTAATAAATATTTGTTGATAAATGAATGAGAATCCCAAACACTATGCTGTAAATGTTAAACCAAAAGAACTCTGAATATTTTCATGTGTTATCTCTTCGATGGTCATAATCTTTCATTTCAGACACTGAAATACTAAAAACCTTAAAAGTTTAGAGAAGAGCCAGGATCATCAAGCCATGATCCCTTGACCAACCTTCATTTCCTGGCTTCCCAGTTCCTACCACTCCCTCTCCTTAGACGTCACTGCCAAGCTTACAGCTCCAGCGTAATAGCAATTTTGGTGTGGAGTGGGGATGCAGGGAGAAAAGAGTCACTGTCACAGATGCCTTGGGCACTTTTCCCCTTCTCTGAATAACAGATTTTATAAGACACCCACAACACGGCCATACACAGGCAGTGTGTACAGTGGCTAAGAATATTCTGAAATTAGAGGGCTCAAATTCAAACCTTGGTTCTGGCAATACTAGTCATATGACATTGAACAGATTTGTTTATATCCCCAAGCCTCAGGTTCCCTATCTGTAAAATAGGAATAAAAAAGGTTTACGTGATAGAGTTGTTACAGTTAAATGAGATAATGCATTAGAAGTACCTCCAACAATGTTTTTGCATTGAAAACATTCAATCCCAGCTAGTAATAACAGTAGTAGTAGTAATAGTAGTAGTAGTAGTAAAGGTCATGCTGCATGCCCACAACTCCCCATTTTCTTCCCAGTAGCATCAAGAACAGAATCTGTGAGGATTCTACCCTCACAATTGCTATTTCAGAGTCCTGTCTTCCATAAAGTAGTAGATTTAACCAATGAGCCAAAGATCCTGATGGAATGAATGACTCTTAATTGTTTAATTTGGTTAACAAGTTGACACATGACAATTAGTCTTTGAGAAATAACTTTATAATGTTGTTGTTTATTGCTTGCCGCAATAACATGATCTCAGATAATGATTACAGAAGAATCTTTTTACTGTGTTCTCAGAAAACGACATTCACCACAGGACAGATAGGAAGCAGGTATGTTGGTCTTCCTCTCTTTTCTCTGAAACCTGGAAAGAAAAATAGAATCTTGTGCAGCAAAAGAATATGAAATGTTATAACTTGAGTGATGGAAATTCACGTATATAAAAAAAACTGTTCGTGGTAACTATGTTTTGCCTTTCATAGATCCAAACCCACTCCCTGTGGAGGTCCAGGTCTCTCTTCCTGGACACTGAACATCCTTGCTATATCTACTCAACATTTTGTTCCTAAAGTTTGTGAATTCGTCTTACACAAACTGCAGGGAAGAAGAGATCCTTTATACACATTTTTGAAATCCCTAACATATCACTTTTCTTTTATGTAAATACTGAAGCAAGAGACTCTTAGAACAGCTTTACTGAGGCCTGTCTGCCCATCCCAACCCCCTGCTCTCCCTGTCAACATTCATAGATTCTGTTGCCTTTCCTTCCTGGTCCAGACGTCTGACTGTAGTAGCAGAAAGGCAGAAGAGTGGATACCTTTAGGTATTTAGAAAACTGCTGGGACAGTAAGAGTGTGCTAGCACAAATGCAGCTGTGCCATCCCGTAAGGAGTGAATGATACTCAGAGAAACATTACAGGACCAGTACTGGGGTCTGTTAGGTGTAAGGCATGGGGGATGAGCCAGAAATTGACATTGAAGCATGAGAAGGGAAAAGCCAAAACGACCAAATAAGTTACCAATACATTTAGCCTTTGATTGAGATACAAGTTATTACCTTTGGTGAATTTTACTTGATATTTTTCAAGCAACCTGACTTTTGGCTGACAATTTTGGACCCTGAGAGAGAAAAAAAAGAGAAATAAAAACACATAGGAAGACTTCTGAGAAACCTCCATACTGTTTTCCACTGTGGCTGCACCAATTTACATTCCCACCAACAGTGTATGAGGGTTTCCAAAAACTGAAAATAGAACTACCATACAACCCAGTGATGCTATTCCTGGATATGTGTCCAAAAAAAGAAGCACTAATTTGAAAAGATACGTGCACCCCAATGTTCATTCATATCAGCATTATTTACAATTGCCAAGATATGGAAGCAACCTAAGTGTCCATCGACAGATGAATGGATAAAGAAGATGGGGCCCGTATATATAATACAATACTACTCAGAGATTAAAAAAAAGAATGAAATTTTGCTTGCAACAATAAGAATGGACTTGGAAGGCATTATGCTTAGTGAAATACGTCAGACAAAGACAAATACTGTATGATATACGCATATGTGAAATCTAAAAAATACAACAAACTAGTGAATATAACAAAAAAGAAGCAGACTCACAGATATAGAGAACAAACTAGTGGTTACCTATAGGGAGAGGGAAGGGGGGAGGGGAAATACAGGGGTAGGGGATTAAGAAGTACAAACTATTAAGTAAAAAATAATCTATAAGGATATATTATACAACATGGGGAATATCGTCAGTATTCCACAATAACTATAAATGGAACATAACTTTTAAAAATTGTGACTCACTATATTATAGGCCTGTAACTTATATAGTATTGTGCAGCAGCTCTACTCCAATAAAAAAAATGGAAAGAAAAATTTAAGACGTTATTATTTGAATTTAGAGAAGCATATTGTCTTGAGTTTTGTAAAGAAAAGTTAAACCACTCCTGTGTTGTACAGGAGACAATGAACAATTTCTTCTGGTGATCTTGGAAACAGACACCCCAGCCTTTTACAAACTGCCAGGGAATTCATCTCTCCCTTTATGTGGTCTCAATACATACACTCACCTGGATAAATGCTAAATGATACTAATACCCTCTAATGAAATCAAGCATGTTTTTCAAAAAACTAGTAGTTTGTGCCAAAAAAAATTCCCAGATTAAGCACTCACTCAGAAAAACAGAGGGCTCTCAACCAGAATGAAAGCTCTGTGTGTGTGTGTGTGCCTGTGAGTGTGCATGAAGCATGTGAGTGTGAATGAAGTATGTGTGTGTGCATGAGTTGTGAGTGAGTCTGGAGGGGAGTGGGTGTCACTAGGAAAGAAACAGTAAGCAAGGTACTTCCAAGGAGCATCCACTGGGGCTGACACTCACAGGTGCCTGAGGCTCCTGGAACACGAACCAGCAGGGGACACATCTCCTCTCATCTTCTCTGCCACCTCCTCACTTCACACACAGGTATTCTCTAGCAGGGGATGTTGGAACAAAGGCCAGGAAGGTGACACAGCCACCCCCACAGCCACATCATCACTTCCTGATGTCCTTCCTGTTCCCCTCTCTTTGAGACTGATATGATCTCCTTTGCAAGTCAGATTAACTATTTATTAACCAACTGGATGGTATAATTCAAGGATAATTATTACCATCCACATTTAAAGAAGATGAACCGCAGTTCAGATTAAGTGACATGACCATGACTGCCAGCATAGAACCTATGATTTCCTGATGCCTTTTCTTACACCATGTCGTCACCAAGGAGATGGTGCCAAAACCCTGTCAGAGAGACGTCTGCATGTTTAGTTGTGTAGCGATTGTGCTCTCAGGCCTCAGCCTGGGAGACATTGCAGGGAGGAAGGGGGGTCCTAAGGGGAGTTCTGGTTTCTTTTGTTTGACCAGGAATACCAGTTGGATTTCAGGGGGAAAAGAGCTGGAAGTACCTCTTCCTTGAAGCAGGCTTCAGGCCCCTGGGCCTGGCAGCACTTCTTCACCACATTTGTGAAATCCATCAGCAATGACTGCAGCTCCACCCTTGTAAGTTCAGGCTTCAGTTTCACTAAGTTGACAAGAAACCTGTGACCCGGTGAGTCAAACAGAATTAATTAACGATTTCTTTCTGCAGCCCTCTTCTCCAAAAGGCTAGTTATAGAATCATATGTCTTAGGAATCTCCATATGGGTGAATGTAAAATGTTAAAGTATTCCACTTTTGAAAGGGTGTCCTGAAACTTTCCTGTTAAACACATGGGATGGATTCCATTATAACAATCTTTGGAGAGCTACGTAATCATGGATGAAATTGTATAAAATATGGGAACATATAGTAAGTCTTCAATATGCACAATATTGTAGACTATGTGACTACATTTGATGTCTCTAGAAAATTCATGTCCAAAGCAACATCTATTCCCCCTTCCTCAATAACTGAATTCTGTTTCCACTCCACTTGATACAGACACTGCTTAATCTAAAAAAAAAGAAAAAAGATCTGATTCCTTGGCATTTATAGCATTGCCTGAGAAAACAAAAGCAAAATTCCTGTTCCTTTTGGGCCTCTCTTATCTGCAAACATTAAGAGAGATTCTCAGAGCAAACATCTATGACATGCTCTCAAGAAAATCTGATTCATTATGACCCTTCTAGGAGCATTTTTATGGCTACTCTCACCCACCTTTTCAAATCACGGTCTTTTGGACCCTCCAAGGCTCTAGCAAAGGAAAAGACTAGCTAGGTTTTAACTTACAATTGGGCAGACTGGACAGTGTGACAGAAAGAACAGGATTCTAACACCAAACATCACATATCCATTACAATAAAACTTCTCATTAATACATGCTATGTCTTCCGGCGGAAGAAAAAGGTGAACAGTAGAGAATGTCTGTACCTGTCTTTCTTTCTCTGGAGCTCCTCATTATGAGCCTGACACAAGTCTGTGTGAAAGGTAAATAAACCTTGAGAGGTAGGTGGAGGCACATACGTCTTATCGGCTTCCAAGCCCTCAAAGCAGGACCTTCTGAAGGCAAAGTTTGTTTTACAACAGTGGTCCACAGCAGGGTTGATACTTCGATTTTCATTTATTCCACATAACTCTCCAAGAACTAAGTCCACCTATACCAATGAAAGTTGCAATGGAGTTTTGAAATACAGCTAGATGAATTGTTAGTTTGTGCTAGTATCACTGTCAACTTAGAAAAACTCATGCACTTGTAACATGAAACGACGTGCAAAGAAAAGTAGAGGCTGGTGTCCCAAATGACATTATAACAAAAATGCAAGCCATAGCAATTTAAATGTCTAGAGATTAATTCTTGTTAACATATATACAAATTTGTGATTTTGAGCAGAGAGCTGCAAACAGCCAACTGAAAATGGCATCAGGACACTGTGGCCCTTAGTTTTAGTCCCCTTCTGGGATGTCCCCCACGTACTGTCCACCCCAGACCTAAAAAGGTGCACCCAACCCGAACTGGGCTGTAAACAGCAATTCTCTTACTGACCTGGTGGGACAAGAGAGAGAATCTATCCCATTACTTAAGATTATGAAATTTTCTCTATCATTCTGAAATAATTCTATGATTCCAAGTGGTTTGCCCTAACAAATTGCTTCTAATATAAATAAGACGTAATAAAGATGATTTGGAGAACCCCAAGCAAATATTTAAGACTTCTCTTTTGCTTCTCAGGATTTTGACACAGTAAGCCAAAAATAAAACTTGACCTTCCTTGCTTAACAATCTTGAAAACAATGAAGAGAGGAAGACGGATAATCACTATAAATGAATGAGTGCAAAAGTATCCTTTTTTTTTTTTTTCTTTTAGGAATAGTCAGGCACATGGGCCAGGCTCACCAAATTATCAACGCAGGCAAACTCTTCACTCAGTGTACAGCAGGTGGTCAAAGCTGTCACCATTTCCTTGCCAAGAAAGGTCAGTTCTTCAGTGGAGAGCTGGGGGGCTAGTTTTGTGAGATTGATGAGGTAGCTGAAAGAACATTTGTCTGTTTGTTCTGAACAAAAGCAGGTACCCATTTTCCCTTGTCTAGCCCCCTGAAGCCCCAACCCTGCAAGGCTAGGGACAACCAATGTAAGGGCAACATGAAGCTCAGCTCTCTCATAAAGTGGTAGAGAACAGTCTCTTCACTCCCTGTTTTCCTGCACCCTGCCTCCTAGATCGCTGTATTTCGGTTTCCTTCTAATTTCATGATAATTCAGAAACTCTCAGATTTGCCCATCCTTCTTCACCTGTGAGTATAGGAGCTCCTTGGTAGAAAATGTCTTAGCTAGTATGTAAAATCCTGCTTGAGATCCCTTGAGCAGTTAATAAATATTTCAAAGGGAAAATTTAATAGATACATGTTGGAAAAGGATAATCTGAGATGGAGGAAACAAAGATATTTAATGGGCTGAGTTTTCAGATAACAGCCCAATTGCAGAAATAGTGAAAATATATTTTTTAAACTGTGTTTTGTTGTGACTTGAAGACGTTTGGTTTCAACACTCAATACATTAGCATGGTAATTAATTAAGAAAATCCAGAACAAACTTCATATTATTCATGAATGCTCACAAGAATACTTAAAAATGAATAGTAAAGTGTTAAGTAAATCCAGAATTATTTTTTTTACTCAATAAGAATTATTTCCTTAAATAATTCTTCCTTGGGAAATTATAACAACCTGAAGTTTTCTCCATCCCACCCCACACCCCTGAAATGGGGTAAAATCCAGAAATTCTGGGCTGGGAGTGAGAAAGACTAGTCCAAACAAAAACTAATGCATTAGAGAATCAGTTTGTCCAGAATCCTGTATGTCTTCAATTTCTAGCCTCATTTCTGGTAAAGGCTTAATATGACAGCTCAATGTGCCTTCTTGACTTTTGTGTTTTTATTCTTTCCCAGAGTTTATGAACTTGTCATAACTAAAAGACTGAGCTAAGATTTTGACACTTTGTGGCACTCTTTATGTTATCCTGGTCACCATTGTTAACCTACTTGTGCAAACAACTTACTGGTATTTCAAGTCATCCTTCCCCGAGATCTGAAAATGTTCACATTCTCGCTGTACTATCTTGAGGCTTTTCTCAGTTGTCTCATTGAATTTGTTTTCCTGAAAATACGAACAATCATGTTTATGAACATTTTATCTAAAATTTAATCATAAGCTTCAACTTGTCTAATTGCTCTTTTAATTTATATAGCATTTTCAAACTCTAATTATCATACACTAGTCATTAAATTGAGGGTAGTTTTTATATATGTAGGAATTTGAATTTTTTAAGTTATAGTTTTTGCTAAATTTGAAAGCTCAAAATTTTCATTATCATTACCTTGTAGAGGTATCATTACCTTATAGAGCTTTCCAGTCTGCAAAGTGAAATTCAAATCTGATGTTGACAATGATCATATTTTTTTTTTTAGAAAGAGGTGACAAGCTGTTTATTTTTTTTATGTATGTATGTATTTATTTCGTTATTTATTTTGGCCGCGTCACGGCATGTGGGATCTTAGTCCCCCGATCAGGGATCGAACCCGTGTTCCCTGCAGTGGAAGACTGAGTCCTAACCACTGGACCACCAGGGAATTCCCAGACAATGATCATACTGATTCTCACTTTGAAGTGGCCAGAGAAGTTATCTGGCGCTATGAAGTCAAGTGGCTTGCCTAGAATCACCCAGTGAGTAAGTATTGCTACATAACATTTTTAATCACGTGTATCTTTTTTATATCTTCTTCTTCATCACTTAGAACTGGAACTTAAAACCTCCAATAATTGTCCTCAAATATTTGACAAACTCTCTCTCACGTGGCATAAAACTGGACATCTACTAAGTGACCACTAGAGAGAAAACTACACACCAGTGGATGAATGCTGTGAGACGAATTGTGTCTCCATATAATAAAGAGAATTTTCTAGCACTATGATTCATTTAAGGATCAGGAACAGACCTCCTTGTTAGGGACAGCGGTAGAGCTGGATAAAACTTAAGTCTTCTTACTTCTTGCTCAAATATGAATGGGTGTAAACTGGCATTTTTGGCAAGTGGAGGTAATTTTTTAAGTAAAGCAAAATCAACACTTATCAAATGAATGAGAAACAAATCAAACATGACAAATAATTAATTTCTATAATACACAAAAAGTGCATATGAACTGATATTAAAAAATGCTAATTTCAACAGGAAAATGGGTAAAAGACGTGAGCAAATTGTCCACAGGAAATTTATAACTACAGTAGCTAAAATCATATGGGAAAAGTTTAACTTCATTAAAAAATTAATTAAAATTTTAAAACATGCTCATTATTTAGCAAAGTTAATTTCTATGTGCAATGTTGGTGAAGGTGGAGGTAAGATGAGCATTTTCAAGCACTGTTATAGGACTATATGCTGCTAATAACTTTCTAGATAGTAACCTGGCCATTTGTATCAAATATTTTTTATTTTAAAGTCTATATAATTTGACTTAATAATTTTCCTTCTGATAATCTGTCTAAAGAAAATAACCATAAATATTAATAATGATGAATGGAATGAGATACTTAGGGTCACTTATAAATAAAATTTTTAAAAAGTTAAATCAATGTCCAAAATGTCAAACGTACAGTATGAGAGCATTTAAATCAATTATTATGATGGAATACCATCATGCAAAATAAATACATTTTTTTAAAGTCTGTTTAATAACATAAAATGTTTTTTATGCCAATAAATAAAAACAGATCCAAAAATTTCTTAAGAAAGTATTATTCCAATCTTATTTTTAAACACACATATAAATGTATTCATATATGCATAGAAAAGATGAAAAAATGTTAATTATAGCTATTTCTTGGTGACAGAATCAGAAAATTTTTATTTTTTTCTTTGTAAATTTTGATACTTTCCTAATCATCTTTAATAATCATTTATTATTTTTACTATAACAAAAAATTGAATTGGCCCAAGAAACTACAGAGTACATAAATAAAAATATAAATGTTTAATGGGAAGAATTTTTTTGCATCAACACACAGGATTTGACGTTCAAAACATTATGAGTAACCCAAATCGATGATGTTGGTCTTCCCTATGATCAACTTACACTGAATTTAAGGTAGACTCAGATTTGTCAATCACATTTTCCACCCTCTGAACCAGAGTGAAACTTTGATAGTTTTTAAATGTGTGTTGTTTTATTTTGTTTATTTAATTCTCTGAGCCTACTAGGATGGAACTTACCGCATGTCTGTAACAGTCTGGAGGGTTTTCCGTGTTGCAGCACTCTCTCAGGAGATCCTCATACACTCCAGCAATTCTTAACAACTCTGGTGTGGACAGTTCTGGATGTCTCCTTGAGTATTGATAAAGAAACCTGCGATGTGTAAAATATTTTGTATATTAGAACTTCGAGAAAGAGCAAAACACCAAATCCTGCTATCTTTTACTCTAGAGAGATCTTCTAACACTGAGTCTGTCTTCATATGCTAAGTTCCTCCTCTGGTTTGGTCAGGGAATGATTTAAGAGGACATTTTGACAACAGGAGATCATTTTACAAAGGTTCTCTTCCATATTATGTTTTAAACTAACAATCCTTTTACTTGGAGGGATAGAATGATTAAAGGTATTTAGCATTCATTGTTAGAATGATTTAACCCATGAAGCATCAGAAATAGTAGATCATGCCACCAATACTTTAGAAAATACATATCGAGTATAATTCTGTTGGAAAATGCATTCAGACCTCCATCTTGAGATGGTGGGAATATGGATTTCTCCCCACTCCCGGTGCCAACTTAGGGAGAGATTGTGGAGCAGCCTTTGCTCATTCCTTCATCCTGTCACTTGTCAAATATGGGAATAACCACTCCTGCCACCCTAAGTCATTGGTGAAGGTTTCCATGGCCTCGGTGAAGTATATGTGGGTGTGATTTGGGGAGAAAGTGAGAAAGGGAGAGAGAAGAGGCTAACACTTATTAAGCCCTTAGTAGGTGCGAGGCACTGGATCAAGCTTTGTGCATAGGAGACCAAGATAGGCTTCCTACCCTTTATAAAACACTTTCTCATTTAACTTCACTTAACCCTCAAGATAAGTACTATATTATAGCTGAGGAAACTAAGTTTCAGACCAGTTAAGCACCTGGCTGTTAATGGAAGTATAAAATTTGAACCTAGGTCCCATAGGATGCCTACTTTATTCTTGTTTAAACCAAGTTGACTCTCTGCTCAAAAGAGAGGTGTTTTCTTTAACTACCTCTACTGTGCTGTTTAGAAACTTCTTCATAAAAGTATCTTCTTTATTCATTCAAATTAAGTAAAAATGGTCTATGTTTTGAAAGAGCAATACCTCACAAGAGTTCTCCAAGTCCAAGGGACGTTTTATAATCTCTTTTTGGTTTGCAACCTTTTTCTCTTGATTAATCTTGGTTTTTCTGACATCCTCTCTCTTGCTTCCCCACCTGCCTTCTCAATCCCATTTGTGGGATGCATTCCCATATCCTAAAGCAGTGGTGTTTAACCTTCAGAGAATCAAGTGTTCCCCTTAATATCTCATGTAAGCTGTGGACCTTTCTCCAGGAATAAAATTACACCTAAAAACACACCACCAAAATATTGCAAAAAAAACCCTGGGAGCCAACCCTAGCCTGGCAGATCCACTGAGGTCTTGCATCAAATGTTTGCAACCAGAAAAACTGCACCTGAAACATTTCTGGCTCAGCATGTTCATTGCTGCTCTATCATTTCTCCCCAGGCTTCAAACACTATTTTAATTGTCATAGTGATGGTGATGGAGATGATGCAGATGAGGATGAGGATGAAAATTGCTTCCATTTAGCAAGCGTATGTCAGGTACAAGTGAAACACCTTGCATCTATCATTTAGATTAATTTGACTCATGAGAAGCAATAGAGCACAGTGGTTATAAGAGCAGGAGTCTGAAGCCACACTGGTTACATTTGAATCCTGGCTCCACCACATATTAGTTGTGTGACTTTGTAGCAAGTTACTTAACCTCTGTGCCTCAGTTTCCTTGCCTGTAAAATGAGGATAATAAAAGTGTTCTAACCTCAGAAGGTCGTTCTGAAAATTAAATTGGTTAATAGATGAGAAGCACTGAAAATTTGGTAAGTATTCAATAACCTGTATCTTCAATCCAGACCTCCTTCCAGAATTCCAGGTTCATATATTAAATTATCTCGTGACATTCCCAGTTAATTACCTCACAAGGACCTCAAAGTCAAGGTGGTCAGATTCAAACATATTCTCTTTCCCACAAAACATTCCCCCATACTTCCCATCTCATTGAGTCTGAAAACTACTTACCAACCACCTAAGCCCCAAACTGGGATTCATTCCAGATGAAGTTTCTAAAAAACAAAAGTGATTTTGTCCTTCCTTATTCTTCAGTGAAAACCCTTCAGTGGCATCTCGTTACTTAGCATGCCTGTATGATCTGACCCATCTACCTCTCACTACCCTCCTCTCTCACTGCAGAAACCCTATTCACAACCACATATACACCAAGCAGTTTTACACTTCTATCCATGCTCTACTCCTTCTGTCCAGATTACTAAAATTTCTTCCAGTACCTCCTTCCCATCAAGCCTTTCCAGGGTCCCCAGGGACTTCCTCCCCTGTCCCCACATTACCTATCATCTAGTGCTATCAGAAATTAAAGAGCATTTCTTGCACTCATTTATTTATGAGGCTATGTCTTCTCACATCACACTTCTTATTGATGAAAGCTTACTGGGGATAAGAACCCTGTCTAACCTAGTAAAGTCCCTGGATTATATTTTATAACCAAAATATTTGGAATGAACAAATATTCTTATATGAATTTTATATATGATTACCTACAATACAGAGAGGTTAACTTTTGTCCCACTGACTCAACCAGGACTCAAATCTAGTCCTTTTGGCTCCAAGTCAACTAGTCTTCCCCTGAACAGCTGGGCAGCTGTGTAGGGGGTGGGATGGCAAGGGAGGGCAGAGCATGGCAGGTAAGCCTGCAACTTCTCAGGCCCGACCTCTTAGGGTCTAATCCCTACTCTGCCATATTTTAGCTGTGAAAGTTGAACAAGTTACTTAACTTCTCTGTACCTCAGTTTGCTCATCTGAAAATTGGGAGAAATCACACTTATTTACATGACTGTATGAGAATTAAAATAAATAATCCATATAAAGTACTTAGCCCATTGTCTGGCACATATCAAGTACTCAATAAATGTTAGCCATCACATCATAACACAGTTGCATTTTCTTAAAATCATGTAAAAAGACTATAATCGATAGCCATGACTCTTAAAATTAGGTGAGACCCAATACTTATGTGATTTAAATGATCCCTATTCCTTCCACCCAAGTTAGCCAAAATAGATCAAATCCAAAGTTTCTGTTTTCCTGATAAACGTCAATATAGAGTTATGTTACTCAGCCATGAAGTTCTCTTGGTCAGCATCTCGTTCCTCACACACATTTTCGCTTTCAGTAAACTTTGCTTCTCTTAGGGGTAAGTTGTTTGGTCTATCATCTTTATTTGAGTAAATTATGCACTCGCCGCGCTCTGGTATTTTCTTTTCACAGCACTCTTTGATTTTGCTGGAGATGGAATCTTGCTTTGAACAAATATGGCTCATAACCTTGCTCTGTATCAAATAAGAATGGGAAATGACTTTATTTTCACAATATCGTCAGGGCTGGATTTTCCTTCCAAAATCAACGCAAAATCAACCATGTGCATAACATCTGGACTTGGTTCATCAGCTAATTTGATAGATAATTAAATTTTGTATTGATTTAATACAATGAACTTTCATATTAAGGCAAGCTTTATTTCTCAGGATTTTAGATGATATAATTATGAAAAATAGACTCATAAGTTTACATTCATTGTTAAGTATTAATCTTTTAAATACTTTACCCCTACTCCACTGGTGTATCAGCATTTTAAATTCTAAATGCTGTTTCTTTCCCATGAGAGTTTATCTGTACTTTAATGAGGGCCACCAAAGACATGTTACTGTAATATCTATGATCCTAGATTTCTTCTCTTATGGCCTGAAACCACATTGCCAGGTATATAGTAGAAACTCAAGAAATATTTGATAAGTGAATGAAAGAATGGCAAACTAATGAACCACTACAGCAACTACCAGATGAAGGCTTCTCAAACATAAGGAGATATTCTGCTCATTGTTGTCATTTTCCTGTAGACATTATTAATCTGAAGCTGTTCAAATTATCAAATAATGTACAAAATAGTAAACCCTACTATCTCCCCTCTCCCCACTCTCCCTACCCAATTCTGACCTCCATATAAAGTTACGGGAATAAGGGAGAGGGTGAAGCTCTCTTGGTTACACATTAGTTGGATAATTTTTTAAAAGCTAGTCTAGCCTCTAGTCCTCTCTCCAGACGCTCCAGAATTAGGCTGTACATTCCTCCTACTCTCTGTCCTAGCGTCTCATGAACTACATTGAGTTCTGTCAAAGCACGAGGCTATTCCAGACTCTCTGACTTTGCTCAAGCTGTTCCCCGGCCTGGAATCTTCTTCTGGGGAACACTGAGGATAAGGAATGAGATGAAGCTCTAGGCTGAGGTGAGAAATGGAAAGGAGGCTGGCACCATGTTTCCAGCAAACCGCCTAGAACCAGGGAGCCCGTCTTTGCAAACATATATACATTTCCCCTAAGGCCATCATCGTTCTAGGCAACACATCTCTTATTGTCTGAGAATTAATTTCTATTTTGAATAAATTACGATTCTATTCCTCTTATTGCTACATAAAACCATCAAAGAAAAGGATATTAAGAATATAATATGATCCCTTAGTCTCAGCTCCAAACTTCAGGGAAAAATCTTCAATTATATCCTTTCAGTACATTAAATTTAATATTATAAAACCAACATTCCCATAAACAAACAAACAAAAGTAAATAGCGAGTGAGATTGCTTTTCATTGAAATACAGTTAAGGACAAAATAATTCTTGGTGATATCTACTGTCCACTACTTGAAATAAAATGTACATATCTTCATATTCTAAAATTCAAGTTGTCTAATTAACATGATGTTTCCTTGTGAATTTAAAACAGTAAGACTAATTAAAAGTCACTAAGAAAAAGCCTAATTTCAACTAAGAAGTCGGGATATTTTTAATGAAATTGTGTTACCCTCATATGCATAAACAACTTCAACTAGGTCAACAATATATTTACCAGTATATGTCATTAGAGAATCACATTAAAGACTAGAGTAAGAGTTATTTTAAATTAACATATTTACTTATCTGGAAAGACTGTTCCTAAATAGCCTGAAGAAACTCAGACAAAACAGCTCTTAAAAACATAAAGATGAATCATTTTCTGAGCTTTACTGTTAATTTCTAATATAGCTAAAGAGTATTTACAATATTAAAGAAAACTTTAGTCTGGCCTAAATTAATGTCCACAAATTCTAAATTCCTGGAGTTTATGTCATGTGCATTTAGCCATATAAAATAGAATCTGCTGAGTAGCCTAAAAACAATCCCATGTATGAAAAGCTCCAAAGTTTTATTTGGTCTTATTTGTTAACATTTTTTATTTTATTTATTTTATGTTATTATTTAACAATTTATTTTTTGTTGAAGTATAGGTGATTTACAATGTTGTATTAGTTTCAGGTGTACAGCAAAGTGATTCAGTTATATATATAACTGAATATATATGTATATAAAAGAATATATATATATTCTTTTTTCAGATTCTTTTCCATCATAGGCTATTACAAGATATTGAATATAGTTCCCTGTGCTATACAGGAGGTCCTTGTTGTTTATCTAGTTTATATATAGTAGTGTTATCTGTTAATCCCAACCAATTTATCAACATTCTGATTTTATTGTGGTGAGTAGCCACATATTAGGGCAACTTCGAAATAAAAAATAGCCACCCCAAAAATCACTATTTTTACTTGGTTTTATAGAATACTTACCCTGCCATGGATGCATTGCACAACATCCCCTTCACAGCATCCATCATATTTGGAAGAAACATCTTCTAGGAGGGAGATAAGTTCCTTAAATTCAATCTTGGGGAATTTTTGACTAAGTACAGCAATGTTTCTGGAAATAGAATTGATAAACCACTAAAACAACTTGAACAACAAGTAAGGCAAGAGGGAGCTCTTTGCTAATACAGTACAAATAGCTGCAGTAAGCATGTGGTACCCTTGTTTTTTTCACTGATGGCTTTACCAATGTTTATACATTGCATGGCCCACATGATCATTTTGAAAATCCTAGGTTGATATTTTGAGTCCTAGATCAGGACTGGGGAAAAAAGGGCCTGAGAGATGTGCCCTCTTCCATAATTGTTATAGCAAAACACTTCTTTTAAGGACCACCATTTCTTGTTGTAAGCCCATGGCTGGCATAGGTTATTCATCACAGAATCCTTTCCTGCTGATGTATTTGAAATCTCAGAATTTTTCACAAAACATTGCACTAGCATCATTGCTAGTTGGCTAGGGTAAGCATGTTAAATAAAATTTATCCCTAGAGTGTAGTCTCCTAGTCATTAAAGTCAAAGATGGATGGATAAGTCATGTCTAAATCACTTGAAGGTTTTAAAACTCAGGTTCAGAACTCCTGGACCGACTCAGATTCCCAACTAACCAAAAACTAACTCAGAAGTAGTCCTTTTTCTCTCTGGGGTCTCCCCACCTTGCAGGTCTTCTCTCATCCGGACCTACTGTCCTGGTCTGAGTAATCCACCCAGACTGAGCCCCACCTCAAAACGCTTGAGGAACTAAGAAGAGTATAAATAAAAAGTCATCAATGATTTAACAAAAATGGGACTTAGACAAGAAAATACAAGTAGAAACAAAATACTCATTATAAAACTCACATAGATTTTAAGATTTGTGGTCCAAACTTCATAAGTGCCCCACAGACATTTTTTTGATAAGAAGATAATGCTTTTAAATATTGTATGAAAGTTTCTGCCTGAAGGATAAAGAGAAATTCTGTTGAAGCAAGAGCAAAATCCCACTATTCTCTTATTTCTTAACCACATGTCAACCAAACAATTCCAAACTTTGCCAGAAACAGAAAATTATGGGGTTTTTATCTCAGGAAATGTACATATCAAAATATAAATTTGTGGCTTATTATAAAGGTGGGACCAGTCTTCCCAATGACTGAATTATACTTGATGGGAAGATGAGTGGTGAAGAGTGCTGTGAGCTTGTCCATCTCTACCAGGATGATTCAGTTTTATGGGTAGTCAAAAGAGGACTTGTCCAAGATAGAAGATAAAATGTCATTTTTACCCTGGTTATTTACTCACTAGCATTTCCTTCCAATTCACAAGGAAGACAAAGCCAGAAGAGAAACCCTAGAAATGGGCAATTGTCTTTCAAGGGTCTCAAGTAATAAGAAATTTAGATCAGTAGCAGGTGGCCAATGGGTTGAAAAACCAGTGAAAGTGGCAAGAGAATAGTTTTTAAATGGTAAACAACTCTTTTGCTATAATTTAATTTTAAGTAAAGATCTACAGTTTGGGATGAATCCTTGTCCTTTTAAGAAAACAAATGTAGTACCCACCTTTGTTCGAAAGCAGTTAGCTTTTTCTTGTTCTTCACAGCATGTTTTAGTCATCTCCTCAAAACGAGCAGCAGCAGTAAGAAGTGTAGGGGCAAAAACAAAGGGGTTCCTTCTGGAAACTTCGTAGATATAACTATAAAAGAAAAAAAGGAAGGAAGGAGGGAAAGAAAAAAACAGGAAGGTAATGAAGAAATGGTAGACAAGGGAAGGAAAAGAGAAGATTTAAAAAGACAAGAAGAACAAGTTGTGAAAGTAAAGGTGAGAGGAAGAAGGATTTCCCATTATTGAAGGCTTCAATGGAAGGCAGCGTTATCGAGTCTCCAATAAAAGTTGTATCACTGAAGTTGCCAGCTCCCAAAGAAGAATGATGATTGCCATTCTAATCATGAACACGGGGCTCTGGCTATTCTTTTTCTTCCCCTATCATGCCAGATGGTCAGCATCTCTCCTTTTCAGGTTCAAAGAACAGCTACCTATACACACTCCATCCAAGATTCAGAGATCATAATCACTTATGTTCAAACAAGCTTTGTGGTTTAAGCTTTCCAGAAAATGTCTCTGCTTCTACAACTACTACCCTACTGAAAACAGATTTTTGCTAAACATCCATTGATGTAATGTTTACCCTTAGTAAAAGCTATAACTCTCCATTGAAAGACTATATTATTTCCTCCAGTAGAACTTTGGTGCCATGCACACCCTTCAGTTCTGGGGCTCATCCCATTAGAAAATACACATCACAATGAAAGGATCTTGAAATCAGGTTTCATATCTTATTCATCTCCTCAGCAATGACCACAGAATCTGACACACAAATGCATGTTGAATGATCTAACTGATCAAGAAACCCAGCTATGTTCTTTTGGAAGAGATATTGGATTTAGCCTAAGAATACTGTTTCAATTAAATCATTTTTCTACTAAAATTAAACTTACTTGTTTAGAAAAGATTCTCTGTTATTTTTATAAGTCTGGCATTTCTCTTCAGGATCCAGAGTAGGGAGAGGAGGCAAAAATCCTACATCAGCTTTCTTATTATGGAGGAAACAATGTTTTCTTTCAAAGTCAGCCTTATGGCAGCAGTGTGAAAAATTATGCTTTTGTGGCAGTCCCTCCATAGTACATATATTTTCCAGTAAAACATCATTCTGGACAACAGAAAAATAAAAGACGTTTTTTTTCATTATGACATTTTTCAACCTTCTGAGATGACACAATGGAGACAATTAGTGGTGAGTGTCACCCTTTGCAAAAGAGATTCCCAAATTTTCCCAATATTACCAGCAGAGCATCTTTACCCACACCCTTGACAACCATCCCATACTTTGGGAAGTTTTCTCTATCCTATCCTGAGGCCCTTCAACCTCTTCCTATTTCTCTACTGCCTACATTTCTCTTACATAATGGCTTTTTTCCTTCTCTTCCAAGGTCACATGGCCAGAGTGTAATGTGTTGGTGAAGTATTTAGTGGTAATGTTTAGTAATAGTCTTCTAGAGATGCAGATGGTGACTCTATTGGGAGGAGGTCAAGAAAAGGGGGTGTGACAGTAGAGTACATATTGAGAGAGGCAGGTAAGGAAAGTACCTCTACTTTGCCAGGCTATTTCCTGTCTTCCTGCCTGTATACTTACGGTGTGGACTGCAAGCTCATAACCAAGTCCTCCTGTGCATCATTACACAGAATTGCATCTCCTAGGAAAGTACCTTACCCTAAATACTTAAAGTCAGGCAAAATAAAAATGAGGGGCCCAGGGACTTCCCTGGTGGCACAGTGGTTAAGAATCTGCCTGCCAATGCAGGGGACACAGGTTCCATCCCTGGTCTGGGAAGATCCCACATGCCACGGAGCAACTAAGTCCGTGTGCCACAACTACTGAAGACCACGCGCCTAGAGCCCATGCTCTGCAACAAGAGAAGCCACAGCAATGAGAAGCCCGCGCGCCACAATGAAGAGTAACCCCCGCTCGCTGCAACTAGAGAAAGGCCACGTGCAGCAACGAAGACCCAACACAGCCAAAATAATTAATTAATTAATTAATTATTTTAAAAATGAGGGGCCCAGATTTCTCCTTCCTGACACCGAGAGATGATGCTTTTAGGAATCTAAGATCTGTGTTACTCACCTCCCTCACCATGATTTCTGCTATGAGCAGTTCCTATATTAATTGTTTCTCTGGGTTATAGATAAAATTAAAATACATATTTTGAACAGAGACTCTCATTCTGCCCCAAAACCACATTTGAGTGGCAATTTAGTAGAGATGGCAGAAAATAGCACTCCTCAGGCCCCTGTACGTTTCAGCTTTTTTAGTGTCCTTCTGGAGACATAAGCTTTTGGCCACTATGTTGGTACATGGAACTAACTCTTCCTTATTCCCAAGTTGGCTTCAAGGTCCAAATTCATTCAGGTGGAGGAAGAATTCATTATTGGAATCTTGTAATGAGACTAGCCAGATACTCATTGTTGTGGGTTGAAAAATGTCCCCCCAAAAGTTATGTTCAATTCCTAATCCCCATACCTGTGTATGGGACCTTATTTGGAAATAGGGTCTCAGCAGATGGAACCAAGTTATTGAGAGGGTCTTATCCAATGTGACTGCTGTCCTTATAAGGCGAGGAGAAGAGACTCAGAGAGAAGATGGCCATGTGATGACAGGGGCAGAGATTGGAGTGAGGTAATTATAAGTCAAATAATGCCGAGGATTGCTGGTTATCACAAGAAGTTAAGAGAAAAGCATTCAACAGATTCTTCCCTAGAGCCTCTGCAGGGAGCGCACCCTACAACACCTTGATTTTAGGCATCTGGCCTCCAGAATTGTAAGAGAATAAATTTCTGTTGTTTTTTTTTAAAAAAGTTTTTTTTAATCAAAAAATAAAAGTGAGGGCTATAGAGCATCTCTCTTTTTATATTTCCAAGGCAAAAATTCTCTCAGTGTTGACAAATAAGCTTGTTTGTTTAGGAAATGCAAACAATTTACTTACAGCTAATTTTGAACACTCTGGGAGTGTCATGTCAGCCAAGCATTTATCTCTGTATTCTGTCATGGCTTTTACCAACATTTCTACTTCTTCAAAGGATGCCTCCTGAATATATTGAGCAAATGCAATGATGGTGCTGCAACAGTCCACACAGAGTACACAATGATGACCTGCAGAATTTCGATTTATGTCCAACCAAAAACTCATAGGAACACCCACTTGCAGACTAACCTCAGGAAATTATCAAAGTGTGAAGGCTATAACTTTTACAACTTCTTGACAATTCAATTGCCTCATCTAAATTTTATGATTAACACTGTATTTATTTTTTGATATGGTTTATATTTATTTACATTACTTTTGAGAAGCGTTAATATTTCTGGGAGATACCAGATAAGCTTATAGTAAACACCGTCGTCATCAAAATGAGTTTAGAGAAACTCACATATATCCAATATTATCCTCTATAAATTTCTGGGTGATACTGACATCATCTGAAAAGCAAAGATATTCAGGTTATTATATATCCTGGTATTTTAACATTTTCCCAATAAATAACTATATGTGATAAATTTATAAAGTATAAAATAGATAACTGATGGTAGAAAATAATTTTGGCATATTTAACATGAAGAAGAGACATCATATGAACCAAATATTAGATCTTAATCACAGTTGATTACGTGCTCAAAAAATATTCATTAAGTTGAATTGACTTGAATTAATCTCACACTGACCAAACTTTAGATTTACTATTGATGGCTCCCCAGCCACAAATGTCAGATACAAGCATCATTTCCCCACTAAGTGTCATGTATGACTAGAAAAGTAGTATGTGGGTTCATTGTTAAGTGATATAATGCTACAACTGTGCCCAACAAGAGATACCAGAGCTTGCTGGTAGTAGTAGTAGATTGTAGTGCTAGTCAGACACAGATATTTAAGTGATCTCTGAACTAGTCTAAAATCATTGATTCCCTCCCAGTGAGCATATACTTATCAGAGCACATTTGTATTTGTTCACATAGACTATTTTCATGGAGTCCTTACTTTTGCAAGTATTGTGCTGGATACTATGAGACAATCAATGATGACTAAAACATCTCCCCCTGGACCTTGGGTTCCTAAATACTTTCATAGTGCAGGTGACTCATGAACATGACTATAATACAATGTACAATCTATATGACATTCTAAAGTAATGTGGGTAAGTATATGACAGGAATGCTTTATGATCTCTGGGTGAGGAACCAGAAAAGGAATATAGGAGGAGGTGCATATGAGTTGAGTCTGAAAAAAAATGTACAAGATTTCAGCTAGCTGAGAAATAAGGAAACTCATATTTCTTTGTGGAGAGAATGATGTGAGTAAAAGAACAAAGGTAAGAAATCCTGGGATGTCTTTGGGGAAAGTCAATCCACTCTGATGAAAAAGTGGGTCATAAAGAAGAATAATGGAACCTGAGATAGAAAGAAACTGGGTCCAGATTATGTATATCTTTCATATAAAGCTGAGGAGTTTGGGCTCCAAATGGAAGCCATGAAGAGCCACTGAAAATGTTTATATAGAATAGTAATATCATCTTTTCTATATGCTAAAAAATACCAGGCAGGTAGTGGTATGTCTGATATGTTGGGATCTCCCACAGTGCCTGACAAATAGAAAGTGACAAGGACTATTTGTCAACTAGATGGATGGAAGAATGAATGAATGGGGTGGAAAAAAGGCAAGAAGCCCATTAGGAGACTTTTGCAATTATCCTACTGAGAAATCAGCAGGACATGAATTTTGGTAGGAGTAATGGAAGTGCAAAGGAAAACATGAATGCAAAAGATATTGGAGACAAAAATCAACAGGATTTTTTAATAAGTTGTTACAGTGGCAGAGGATAAGGAAAACTCAAGTATGACTACCCTTCTTCAAGCCTGGTGACTGGGCTCACTAGCAGACACTGTAGGGGGTACCAAATTAAGACACAATCCACGTCTTCAGGGCCATGGCAACACTTACAGCACCTTGGTGCGAGGTATAAAAATATGATCCTTTCAGGCCAGAGAGATTACAAAAAGACACCTCTGAACAGATGAAGTTCAAAATGCTCCCCCTTTGAGCAGAAGAAATATAAAAGTCACCTTTTCCTCCAGGCTGACACTGCATCAGCCAGGCTTGGGGAATGTACCGGCTTGGGGAGATTTACAAACTGTACAGTTGGAAGAAGCAAGGTCCTGCATACTCTTATGGTGTTTACCACCTAGTTGGGAGATACATTGAACAACCAAAGTTTCCAGAAAAATCTTAACTCATATCTAATGTTCCACTATTACCATACACTATACACATCTGCAAGAAATACTAATATTTTCAAATCCAAATTATGCCTCCCAGCAACATTTCCTATACTACCATAAGGCCGGTGACCATTTGCTGGGTGTGATAACTGTCTCTGTCTATAGATAGGGTAATATGATCACCAAAATACAATATCTGGGAAGGTTAGTTCACAATATCTGATAAGTATATGTAAACGAGGGAGAAGAAGAAAAAAGCAAGCAAAAAATTAAATTGAAAGAAAACAAAGTTAAAAAAATAGAAATTATCCCAACTTAGTCATTCCTTAGGTGATATACAAGTAAATTTCTTACCTACATCTTGAGGCTTTGTGGGCAGGGTTAAGGATTCAGTCAAAAAGAAAAAGAAAAGAAAACCTGTAAGTTTTAACTGTTTCATTTTTTAAGAAATCACATTCACAAAAGAAAGTAACGTGACTGAGGAAAATCAAGTTTTTATATTATTCTTTGACACTATTAGTAAAAAAGTAACTTGTTTAACCAATTTCTCATATACCTCATATTTGATTTTTATTTGATCACTCTGCAGAATTTTTTGCTAATTATTAACTAGGAAAAAATTTTCTCAGTGTTTCACTGGAAAAATCTATTGAGTTAGAAAAAAAGTCCACAGGTTAAGTATGCACAATGCCTAGCCAAATAGACAACCAAAAGAGAAAAAAATCTTGAAATATTGCAAATGCTAAAAGAGAAAGGGCAAGAATAAATAATTCACCAAAGAGAAACATAACTAGAAAGCCACTAAATTTTGCTGGTAATCAAAGGAAGTTAAATTTAAAATATATAATTTTTATATACTTGATAGAATTAGAAAAAAGAAAAAATTAAGATCTAATTCTGGTAAACATCTAACAAAACAAGTACCCACAAAACCAAAGCTTCTGAGAAACAAGTTTATAATAAGAATCAATACACTAAAATGTTCATGTTATTTCAACCAATCACTCAAATTCTGGGAATCTATATTAAGAACATGATTCTAAATATGGAAATATTTTTTAGTACAGGATATAAAAGAAGAAATCTATTTCTTAATTATGTCTGCTAAAAGGACCTGAAAGCAGTAGCAACCAAGTAGCTATTTGGTGTCCTTGGAGCACATTTTGTGTCCACACCTTGGGTATTAAGCACTCTTCTCTACTATAAGAATCCTGAGCTTCTTAAAGAAATGACTAATTCCAGGGCTGATCCATAAAAACTATAAAATAAGCTGAGAGCACCATGCCAGAAACTAAGGAAATTTTCAAAAACATGTCAAAAGAAGATAGAAACCAATGGGACAATTTGACAGTGAAGTAAATAATGACAAGAATGCATTATAACTCATTAAATTTAGGGGAAAAAAGAATTCATGAATCTATACCAATACTAAATTAAAATAAAAGTTGAGGGAGGAAAAGCTCTTCTCTATATAAGAATGCCAACTGACAAATGTCAATAATCATTTGTAACTCTCAGAGTAAAAATTGATTTAAGCCAGTATCATGAATGGATGCTAAAGTCACTGGTGAGAAATTATCAGGCTGTGGCATATTTACAGTTTCAAAGTATAACTCCATAGATTACTTATTAATTACCAAGGGGAAAAGACATCTTTACAGATGAATAAGTAAACAGCGGTATAGAGAAAGAGAAGAGGTGGGGAGAGAAAGAGAGAGATACAGGTAGAGATAAAGGTGGAGAGAGGGGGAGAGAGATAGAGACTGAGATTTATGCAACTGGTTTGGTCAGCATCTTTGGTTGCAGCCAGTGAATGTTACTGATCTTGCTGACCTCTAATTGGCCTTTTGTCAGGGTATAAAACCTGCTTCTGGGTATATTTCAACTATTAGATCAGCTTGCTTTTAATTTTCTTCTCAGATATGTTACTTATTACTTCTGATATCCATTTCATGCCTGACAATTGTGGGAGGACAGCTCCAATTCATCCATTTCACAAATCTCATCCCATATCACTGATAAGAATGTGATTTTTTTGTGATTATATGAAATAAAATAGCAGTCTGTGCCTAGTTAAAAACTTAATGTATTTAAACCAGTTTTCTTCCTGTCATTTTGAATTTGCCTGGAATTATCTAACTGCTAATCCCTCATTAATGAGTAATAAACTTTGAAACTTACTCAGATAAATATGCCTAAGAAGTTTTGCTTCAAGAATACAGACACATACATATACATAAGGACACTGGGGGAAAAAAAAGAGGGAGACAGCCAGCAGAACATTCAAAATCTTGAGAAAATCCTAGAAACTAACACAGATGGGATCAAGCTGATGGAGAAAATAAATAAGTGGGAAGCAGCCGCATAGCACAGGGAGATCAGCTCGGTGCTTTGTGACCACCTAGAGGGGTGGGATAGGGAGGGTGGGAGGGAGACACAAGAGGGACGGGATATGGAGATATATGTATACTTATAGCTGATTCACTTTGTGCTACAGCAGAGACTAACACACCATTGTAAAGCAATGATACTCCAATAAAGATGTTAAAAAAAAAAAAAAGGAACTTGAGTTCAAAATATGGAAGATGAGACCAACGCTTCCCAAGGGCATTTCAGAGAAGCTCTAAGTCTAAAGATCAGATATTGGCTACAGGGCAATAATCCAGAGAACAAGCTACAAAGCAACATTCTGAACAGTTAAATTAGAAGGCACCACTTCTCTCTCCCCTTCTGTACCACCACACACACCTATATAGCATACTCAGGTCTCCATGGTTGGTATCTTTTACATCTAGGTCAAAATCTAAAAATGATTCTTTCTTAATTTGGGTTCCTCAAATGCAGAACTCCAGGCAAAGACTTTTAATTTATTTGGAAGGTGGTTTGAGGAGGCACAAGTGAGGAAGTGAGACCAAGAAGAGAAAAAACTAATAAAGGAGGTGTTAATGAGAAGAGTAACAGTGTAGGCAACTGGATGTAATCCTATCTGAGAAGTGGAAGATGATTTCCTAGAATTGTCCTGCCAGAGACTGGGAAGCTGGGGCATTTATGCGCTGACTGAGGTATATGTGACCAAGAAGAATAATCATGAAAACCCTAAGGAGAAAAAAAAACTACTGAGGTGAGGGGTTGTGCAAAGCAGCACTACCAGATAATAAAACACATTCTAAAACAGTGTGGTAATGGCAATCAAGAGAAAGACACATACAACTAAAAATCTAAAATTAGATTCAAATGCCTATCCATGCACAAGGAAAATTCCAAATAGATCAGAGGTCCCAATGTAAGAAGGGGGAAAAAACGGTAAATGTACTGGATGAAACCCAAGTGAAGTGGGGAACTTTTTCCTATGATGCAAAATTCAGAGGTAGTAATAAATTCAACTACACACAAAGAAATTTTAAGGCTCTACATCGAAAAATACTGTAGGCAAAGGAAAAAATGCAGAGGAAAAATGAGAAAAGATAGCTGCAATCTATACCAGAATATACAAAGAGCTCCTGGAAATCTGAAGGGGAAAGAAAGACCAACAGGGCTTCCCTGGTGGCGCTGTGGTTGGGAGTCCGCCTGCCAATGCAGGGGACACAGGTTTGTGTCCCGGTCTGGGAGGATCCCATGTGCCGCGGAGCGGCTGGGCCCGTGAGCCATGGCCGCTGAGCCTGCGCGTCTGGAGCCTGTGCTCGGCAACGGGAGAGGCCACAACAGTGAGAGGCCCGCATACCGAAAAAAAAAAAAAAAACCAACAATCTGATAGAAAAATAGTAAAATGATATAAACAGATATTACACAAAAAGAAAAAACATAAAAAAGGGCCTTAAACCTAAAAAAGATGCTCATAACAGGAGAAACAAACATCTATAAAACACCACAGCACCATTCCTCACCTATCTGACTGGCAAAACTCTAAGTTTGACAAAGTACTTTGAGGATAAAACTGTGGGAAATACGTCCTCTCATCCACTGCTGGTGGGAATGCAAAATGGTGTTGTAATACCTACTGAAGAGAATTTGGCAATATCTAAAAAAATTATGTATTTGTCTTTCGAGCCAACAAATTTCTAATAGGTACCTATGCTAAAAATGCACTACCAATATTACTAAATGATTAAAGCACTAGGTTATTCATTGTGGCATTATTTGCAATAGCAAAGGATTAGAAATGATCCAAATGTCAATAAAAGGTCAATTAATAAGCTATAACATAATCACAGAAAGAAATTCTGTGAAGCTGTTAAAAAAAATTGAGGGAAAAACTTGTGCATAATATGGACTAATCACCAAGATTGCATTTTTAAGTGTAAAAAGGTATAGAACAATATATGTAAGTATGTAACCCCTTGTGTAATATAGGTAGAATGGTGCAATAGAAATATATATATATATTTGCTTAGCTGTTAAAAATAAAGGGGAGAATGGGTAACCAAGAATTGAGATAAGCTGTTATCTATAGAAGAAAGGGAGAACAGAACAGAAGGAATAGTGTCTAAGTCAGTTCAGGCTGTTATAACAAAATGCCATTAAGTGGGGAGCTTATCAACAACAGAAATTCATTGCTCACAGTTCTGGGGGCCAAGGGTCTGAGATCAGGGTGCCAGCCTGGTCAGGTTCTGGTGAGAGCCCTCCTCTGGGTTGCAGACTGCCAATTTCTGGTCGTGTCTTCACATGGCAGAAAGAGGGTATCAGGGTAATGCTGGCCTCACAGAATGAACTGGACAATATTCCCTTCTCTTCAATTTTTTGGAAGAATTTGTGTAGAGTTAGTATGATTTCTTCCTTAAATGTTTATTTAGTAGAATTCACCAGTTTTCTGGAGTTTTCTTTATGGTAATGATCTTAACTAAATGTTCCATTTCTTTAATGGATATAGAAATCATCAGATTATCTATTTTTTTCTTGAATGAGCTTTGGTAGTTTGTGTCTTTCAAGGCATTTGCCCATTTCATCTAAGTTGTCAAATTTATTGGCAAAATATTTTTCAAAATATTCCCTTATCATTTTGATATCTGAGATGATGTCACCTCTCTCATTCCTGATACTAATAATTTGTTTTTTTCTCTTTCTTTCCCTAAAATCCAGCTAGAGGTTTATCAATAGTATTGATCTTCTCAAAGAACCAGGATTTGGTTTCATTGGCTTTTATCTATGTTTTTTCTCTTTTCTATTTTATTAATTTCTATTAGTTCCTTTCTTTAGCTTGCTTTGTTTTAATTTGCTCTTTTCCCCTTAAGGTGAAAGCTGAGTTCATTGTTTTGAGAACTTCCTTCTTTTCTAATCTATGTTAAGTGAAGATAACAGAGTGTTATAAATTATAGAACAGAGTGACTTTGGTGCTATAAATTTTCTTTAAGTACTGTTTTAATGGTATCCCACAAATTCTGATATGCTGTGTTTTCATTTTAATTCAATTTGAAATATTTTTTAAGTGTCCTTTTAATTTCTCCTTTGATTCATGAGTTCTTTAGAAGTGTGTTATTTAGTTCATGAACACTTGGGGATTTCCAGATATCTTACTATTATGTATTACCAATTTAATATTATACCATCAAGCAATTCTCTGGACTCTCCCTTAACTCTTCGAAAGTAGCATCATTGGGAGGAGACAAATTCTTTCTATGGTAATCTACCAGTCTGGGGGCAGTAGGGCATGGCAAGGGAGAGGTTGGAAGAGTAATTTTCAAGAGTGGCTGGTCTATATTCACCTGCTTTCAACAGTTTGTTACTGCAGCAGGAGTTTAATCCTGTCCTAATACTATCCTGTAGACACCAGGCTTTTTGGGTTTTGCAGATGTAATTAAGGATCTTGAGATGAGGATTATCCAGGCGGGCCCTTAATCCAATGACAAATGGATTTAAGAGAAGGGCAGGGGGAGATTTGAGACAGAGAAGAGGGAGGAGAAGATGCAGACACACAGAGAGAAGATGATGTGAATATGGAAGCAGAGACCAGAGTAAAGCAGGTCCAGGCCCAGGAATGCTGGGACAGCCACCAGAAGCTGGAAGAGGCAGGGAATGGACTCTCTGCTAGAGCCCCAAGGGGAGCGATACCCTGGTAGATTTCAGACAGCTGGCCTCCAGAACTGTGAAAGAGAGAGAAAACTGTTGTTTTAAGCAACCAAGTTTGCAGTAGTTTGTTACAGTAGCCACAAGACCACAAGACACCAACACATACTCATTACACACACACACACACACACACACACACACACACACACACACACACA